AGGGAGGGAGGGAGGGAGGGAGACTACCAACATGGCGAACTTTAAACACTCAAAACTCCAGTGGTAAAATGTGATTCCAGTTTTGAAGTCGAATGTTCAGATTTGCTCTCCTGTTTCAGAACTCAGTCAAGGAGGTGCCCTGTGCTTTGACCCAGCTCCCCTTCAAGTCCCAGCTTGGGACTGCTGCTCCCCAGATGCCTGGATCTGTGGCTTTTTTGGTAGCAGGTGCTTGGGACATTCAGAACCAAGGGACAGCGCGACTGCCTCTCACGCACATTCTCTCCCTCTGCCCGACAGTTTGTGAAGTTCGCCAACATTGAAGAGGACACCCCCTCCTATCATCGAAGCTATGACTTCTTTGTGTCCCGATTCAGTGAAATGTGCCACTCGAGCCATGATGACATGGAAATCAAGACTAAGTGAGTACCGGGAGTCCAGGGGCCAGCACTGGAGGACCAATCTACCTTCCCCAACTCTCCTTCAGGTCCCTGCTGCCAGGGTGGGTGGCTGTCAGTCAAAATGGGGCTCCCAGAAGACAGTTCTGAAGGAAAAAAAACTGAGGCGCCAGAAAACAGGACAAAATATAAAATGATGGTCTCCTGAGCCGAACTTGAGGGCCAGAAACAAAACTCACAAGTGTGTGTGCACACACAAACCCTCCACAAGTGTGTGTGCACACGCAAATCTGCCACTCACTCCTCGGTTTAAAACATGCATTTGAACACCTCAGAAGCAACCTGCTCCCCGATACCTATACCCATCAACACAGCCCGAGTCCTTCCTCACAGTGGCTCTCCCTCGATCCATCCTCTGTGTCTTCCCGCTCACTCTTCTTCAGCCCCGCCTCCAAGGACACACAGTCCTTCTTCAGTGGATCTCATAGCTCGCCGCTTCCCCTCTGCCATGGCTTTGCTCTCTTTGCTCCCATCCATAGGGCCTGCCTGGCTGTCCCCACACCCACTCCTTTTCTTCTGTGCCCCTCCACATGCCGTGTTCCCCTCTTATGTCTCTGATCTGTCTGTATCCACCCATAGCTTATATGCTACGCAAGGACACGGATCGTGTTGTTTATTAATGTGGCCCAACCAGGTCCAAACCCACGAGGAGGAGCAGGCGGAGGAGCCTTCGTGAGCACTCAGGTCTCTAGATCTTGAACTGAGCTCCGCTCCTGGCTGGAGAGATGCTCCGGGTGTGGACGTGCCTCGGCCTTTTTCCTTACAGGATCCGGATGTCAGGCATCAAAGGCCTGCAAGGGGTAGTGAGGAAGACGGTGAATGACGAGCTGCAGGCCAACATCTGGGACCCACAGCACATGGACAAGATCGTCCCGTCGCTGCTCTTCAATCTGCAGCACGTAGAAGAGGCAGAGAGGTGAGTGGGGGTGGGGTTCAACTCTCAGAGCACCCCCCTAGCACACAGGCTCCTGGAACACACCTAGCTTGGACAGGAAGGTAAAAGGCAGCTACAAGGCCAGGAATCTTGGCTTTGTGGCTTGTTCCCCAGTGAGTGCAAGGCTGGGTGCCTGAATGCTTTGGTCTGTCTTCTACCAGCCTCTGAGCCCCTTCAGTTCTCAAACAAGAAAGCGAAAGCCGTATGACTCAGTGCTGCCTAAGTATACAGGTAAGCTGGTCAAGACACAAGGGGCAGACAGACAGATCGCACCAGCTAAGGAGGCTTAAAATGCCTTTTGTGGTTCTAAATGCTAAAGACTTTCCCTTGGAACTTCCCAGTCTCTATTCATGATGCCATTTCAGACCTTAAAACATGACTGTTTGACCAGCCACTCAAGAATTGCAGATGCTGGATTTTAATCTTAGAGCCTCCAAAACATCAGACTCATTCAGTCCCCTGACCCGTACTTTTCCCCATAGAATGGGATAGAGAGAAAGGTTCCTGTTGCTGTCCTACCTTGGTTTTGTGCTTAGATGTTCAGTAAAAATGCACTCAGTTGGGTCTGGGCTGTTAAACTAACAGAGGAAAGTAAGTGTGCCCCCTAGTGGCTATTTCCGATATAGCCACTCACTGATCTGCTTTGCTCTTAGAAGGGGAGTTCTGTTCAAAGAAGGTTCACTCTGTGATTTGTATACCATTAAGTCATGCCCTAGCCAATCGCCATACCTTTATGCCTCTCTTTCCTCTTTTCAGTTCTCACCCCCTTCTTTCTGAACCATTAGATATATCTAGACCCCTAAGGTCTGCTGGCCTCCCAGAGGCAATCCAGGCCACCCTGAAGTGTTTCTCCAACTCTATTGTCTCTCCCAATCTCTCTCCCAATCTTCTACTCCCAGATCCCTTACCCTGGTTAACCGCTGACGGCCAAGACTATTCTATGACCTAGTGTAGCTTATTTCCAATTCCTGCTTGTCCTGAACAGAAATCTAGGATTATACAATCCTGGCTCCCAGCTTTGAACCCCATCCTTTATCCACATGGGTCTGTATCCACAGCCGGTCTCCCTCGCCCCTCCAAGCACCAGAGAAGGAAAAGGAGAACCCAGCAGAGCTGGCTGAGAGGTGTCTGAGAGAGCTGCTGGGCCGGGCAGCCTTCGGGAATATCAAGAACGCCATCAAGCCTGTTCTTATGTGAGTTGAGTGTTCCTCCCACCCAGGAAATGCTCTACTCCCTGATGATGGCCTCAAGTCTCTCCTTGCCAACTGCCCCAGTCCCCTGTATCTGCCAATGTGAGAAGAAAGGAGATGGCCTTGCTTGCTATGGCCAAGTCAATCCCTTTGTGGTTCATACAGCAAGGCTACCACACAGTGGCCACCTGTAGTTTGTGCTGATAAAGAGGAGGGTACCAAAACCTGAAGGAAGGTGCCAACTTCATTGCTTGTGTCAAGCTATAGAGCATGTACTGTAAACACTTCCTTGATTGGAACTGCCAGGGGCTCTCAGGTGTCACTGTCCCTCCAAGTTCATCTCTACTCCCTACCTCCCTCTGAGTTTCCTAGTCACACACACCCCCACCATGTTCTCTCCCTCACAGCCACCTGGATAACCATTCTCTCTGGGAACCCAAGGTGTTTGCCACCCGTTGCTTTAAAATCATCATGTACTCAATTCAGGTATGGTTTGTCCCTGCTCCAGCTTGTCCCCTGCCCTGTGCAAGGGCACTTCCTGGTGCTAGACAATGCGCAAAGCAGAAAGCCAGGTGTCCTATGACTTCCCCCCAGAAACCGCCTAGCTGCCAAAGATCATGCTGTATCATCCCGCTGGGAAGGAATTGCAAGGGGCTCTCTGTTTAATGTTCCCTACATCCTAGGCCAACATTTTTTTTTATGAAATACAATGGAAAATAATTCTTAGAGAAAATTAAATCTCGAAAAAGACAAGCAGCCTGCATTCCCTGAGCGGTCCCGATTACTGCGGGCTTACTTTCCTTCTGGCCTCATCTCAGCAGATAGATCTTGAATTGGCACTGGGCTCCCAGGCACACTTTGAGCAGCACTGAGATGAACCACGTGGCCTCTCATGGGCCTTGCCAGTAAGACCTGGGGACAGGGAGAAATGAAAGACAATATTTTGAAATGGATTGCTGGCCGCCTTTGAAGTAAACGGAATCAGGAAAAATGTGCAAACGCAGATTCCCTGGGATTTGGCTCCGTGTTTGTGGGCTGGGCTGAGGGGTTGGGGGAGGCGGGTGCTGCAAGAAAGGGAGCGAGGTCTGGGTGCCACCTGCCGTGTCCACCGGCTGTGGGATGTCATTTTGGTTCACCCTCGGCCTCTGGGTTCCAGCAGAGGGCTACCGGGCCTTTGGGGTGGTTGTTTGGGGACCAGCACGTCTTCCTCCCCCCACAGCCGCAGCACTCCCACCTGGTTATCCAGCAGCTCCTGAGCCACCTGGACGCCAACAGCCGCAGCGCGGCGACTGTGCGCGCCGGCATCGTGGAAGTCCTATCGGAAGCTGCAGTTATCGCGGCTACCGGCTCTGTCGGTAAGATCAGGAGCAAAAAGCAAGGGGCGCGGGGTGGGGGTGTGCCGGCGTTGGATTTAGGACCGATTGACTGCTCGGGGCTGGGCTTATGGGAGAGCAGGAGGGATTCCTGTCATGATGTGTGTGTCCCTCCCCCTTGGCGCCCAGGGCCCACGGTACTGGAGATGTTCAACACTTTGCTGCGGCAGCTGCGGCTCAGCATCGACTACGCACTAACCGGGAGCTACGACGGCGCTGTGAGCCTGGGCTCCAAGATTATCAAGGAGCATGAGGAGCGCATGTTCCAGGAGGCGGTCATCAAAACCATCGGTGGGGAAGGGGGTGGGGCTGGGAGGGGCCACTGAGGCTTGGAGGGCGGGCTCCAAGGGAGGAGTTGGCAACGACTGGAGGCGGGGCTAAGGAAGCAGAGCCTACGAACCAAGGCCTAGGACAGGGTAGTGGAGATAGATCTGGGTGAGGCTTGGAAAGGGGCGGAAGTCTGGGGAAGGAACTTAGTAAGGGAAGGGACCCTGTGAGGCTTGGAGAAGGGAGGGGTCCAAGGGGAGGGGCCTGATAAGACTAGGAGAGAAATGAGACTGTGGGTGAGGTTGCCAGGGACCTAGGGCGCTGGCCTGAGACAGGCAGGGCCTATGGGATAAGGCTAGGGCTGTGCTGAAAGGAAGGACCCTGGCAAAGCTTAGAGAGGGGAAAAGCTCTAGGGGAGGAATTAGGCTGGGGGCTAGGAAAAGGAGTTAGAAAAAGAAGGGATGTTTGGAAGGTGGGGTGGAACCAGGACTAGATAGAGATGATCCCTGTGCGAGGACCATAGCACCTCCGCCATAGCACCTGCGGTATGGTTACCTAGCGCTGTGTTATTTAGGGACACTGGGGGAAATGGAGGCCAGCTTATGACACATACGCCTGGCTGATCCTGAGCAAAGGTGCCAGGTCAGTCTGGGTTTCTCAGCCAGGCTCTCCTGCAAAGGCAGACTTCCTGTGTCCTCGTCCTCATTAGGCATGCGTAGTGCTTCCACAGTGGGGCCACTTGGGGGGAGGTGGGGATTGAGGGGAAAAAAGAGGAAAGGAAGAAAGCAGTGGAGACTGCCTGTGCCCTGGATGTGGACAACTATGGAACCTCAAGTATCAGAGATTCTCAGAGGTCCTTGTGCCTATCCCAGGGGCTCATCACCCGAGAGTCAGGACAGGAGCACTGAAACCATTGAGCTGCCCTGGGCCCTATCCCCCAGTAAAGGAGCCCAGTAACAAGGGAAGAGCCGGCATCTGAAAGAGCCCTCTGGAGTCCTTCATGCTCCCTCCCCAGGAGGCAGTGTCACAGCAGCCTGCCTGGGCAGATCTCTCTGGGCCTACCCGCCCCTGGGCACTAGGGAGCCTCACTCCATCCATTCAACTGATGCCGAGCCTGGGGGAATCTCTCACACTCTCTGTCCTCTTCCTCACAGGCTCCTTTGCCAGCACACTGCCGACCTACCAGCGCTCAGAGGTGATCCTCTTCATCATGAGCAAAGTCCCGCTGCCTTCCCTGCATCACCCGGCAGAGACCGGACGGACAGGGTTAGTCCTCTGCTTCCTCCCAGACTACCCTCTCTGGCTCTGGTTATCCAACCTGACTTCTGTGGCTCTGCTCTTTTCTCATGGCTCAAAAAACCTCCTCAGCAGAGGGATCATAGGTCCCATGGCAATGCCCCCTCACGTTAGGGAAGTCATGGGTCCCCCAACAAGCCTCCTGGTGAGAAAACGGATGAGGAAGGCTGGGGTGGGGGGGCACTCTATTGCTATCCTGTTGAGACCATGTCTCTGGCCTACAGGGAGAATAGGAACCGGCTGACCCAGATCATGTTGCTGAAGTCCCTCCTTCAGGTGAGTTCCCCTAACCTGCCCCTGCTCTGCCTCTGTGGGACACGGCTTCTTTCAGAGAACCAAGGCAGTTACGTTCCATACTGCACAGATATGCCCAGCTATTAAAGGGGTAAGTGAAAGGCTGTGAAACTCGACCTGAGCCCCATTCAGTTGTTCAGAGGACGGTGGAAAGGTAATGCTTCTCTTTGTTAATGGTGATTCTGTGTGCCATTAAAACCTGTGGCTCTTGAGATGATTCCTCCCCCTTTGCCTACCTGCTGCCTTTCACCAGGTCCTGTGCCTCTGTTTCCCCCATTTCTCCCACCTCCCTCTTCTTTGTTTCCTGTATGTTCTAATGCACCTCAGCTTTCACTGCTGGGTCTAGTTCTGTTGTTCCCAGGCACCATTCCCACACTAACCTGGTTAAATATGCAGTCTTCCTAGGGAGCGTGAGTGGTCAGGCATGGCGAGGTTCTGAAATCTGTATTTGTGTGTATGTAATTTATTTAGGAGACACCCCTGAACCCCCTTTGCAGCCCTGGCTGGCCTTGGATCTTACATAGCCTATGCTGGCATCAAACTCACGACCTATTTCCTGCCTTAATCTACCAAGTAGCAGCATTATGAGCATACGTGCACTGCCACGCCCAGCTTTGAAATTTGCTTCTGTAACAAGCTTCCTGCCCCGGCCTAGATGTTGGACATCTCACATATCTCAAACATTGTCTTCAATGTTTCTCTGTCCACCTTCCACCATCACCAACACCAGGAGAGCTTTCTGGGAATGCTGTGTTCTATTTTGCTCCTTATTTCAGAGAAGATCTGAATTTCTAATATGGACATCTAAAGTTCAGACTTTTTAGAGCAAAATTCCCAGGATTTTTCTCTCTGTGGACCAGCGGTTCTCAATCTGTGGGTCCTGACTCCATGGGGTCATTGAATGACCCTGTCACACGAGTCGCCTAAGACTATCTGAAAACACATATTTACATTATGATTCATAACAGTAGCAAAATTATAGTTGTGAATAGCAACAAAAATAATGTTATGGTTGGGGGTCACCACAACATAAGGTTGCAGCATCAGGAAGGTTGAGAACCAATGATCTTATTATCCTGTTTATTGCACCACCCAGCTCCCATCTCTGCCCAGCATGCCCGTGCATACAGAACCCCTCATTCCACACAAGCCCTCCCGCCCCTCAACTCCTACCCTAAGCCTTCTATTCTGTTTGCTTGTTGGCTGCTTTGCTTTGGGGATTGAAGCCAGGTCCTCACACATGAGAAGCAAATGCCCCACCACTGAGTGTACCTCCAGCCCCACCCAGTGTCCTTCCTCAAGTCCCCTTGTTCTCACTTCCCAAATCTAGTTGTCTGACCTCTCCTCAGTCCTTGTGATCCTGCAGTTTTGCTGAGTTGATACTTGTTAATTTGTACCCAGCATCATACAGCAACAGTCTGGGGAATGCCCATATCCCCCTTCAGAGAACACTTGATGTTTTTGGGCTGGCTGGGCTGGGCTGGGCTGGGCTGGGCTGGGCTGGGCTGGGCTGGCACCATGGAAGCCTTCAGAATCATCAGAGGTACCAGTCTACAGAATGGACTTAACAGGAGCGATTCCTCGCGACCTGAGCACCTGGCATCATGAGTGATGTATCTATTTATGCCGGCTGATTTGGGTCAGAAGGCCCCCATTATTGCAGGGCTGTGCCGGTCTGTGTGTGGAGTCTGCCAGGCAGCTGTGACTTCCTCTGCCCTCTAGTTCTTGTGAATCCTGGTCTTCACAAAGCATTGTACACATTGCGGGCATTCAGTTGTTCCCTGACGCTTGCCTTTCTCTGTTCTCATCCTTTACTCACTTACTGTCCCTGTGTGCTGTCCCCATACATGTCAACTGAAATGTACTAAGTAGACTTTCCGGGGGGACCCTCGGGGCCCGTGAGAGAATGGGGTGGCGACTCTATACAGAGGATGGACACTTTACACCAGAATTCTTCCGGCTGCTCCTCCAAGTTATCCCTACACCAAGATAAGGTCCTAAGTGCAGCTGCCCCGGGCTTCCGCACAGGTATCCACGGGTTTCCAGTGCAGCAACATGATGTCAGCCCTGCCCAGCAACTTCCTGGACCGCCTTCTCTCCACTGCCCTCATGGAGGATGCAGAAATCCGCCTCTTTGTCCTAGAGATTCTCATCAGCTTCATTGATCGTCATGGCAACCGCCACAAATTCTCCACCATCAGGTGAGCCTGAGGTCTCTCCTTCAGTTGTTGTGTGATGGGGGTGGGGCGGGGCCAATGGGACCTGTCCTCTTGGTCAGTCACCTCACACCCAGGTGGAGGACAATTTGGGTGCAGTGAGACCCACTAGAATTCACCCTTGACTTTGGTCAAGGAGAGTGGGGAGAGTGTGCTTATGCCCGGGCTGAGGGCTGGAGAGAGTACTGTGGGCATTTGAAGGTGGAATAGCAGGTACTAAGGGACATTTCAGGTCTAGGGAAGAGGAGGACATAGGGCCATTGGCACTGAGGATTTGGAAGGAGTAAGGGGGAAAAGGATGTGACCAGAGTCTTCTACCTATGCTGCAGTTCCCGAATAACGACTCTGGGACTTATTTATTAATAAATGTCTAGGCCATGAGCTTGGGCTTGGTCCCTGACTAGCTCATAATGTATATAACTAGTTTATTCATTCTGTGTGTGTTACGTAGCTGGCTACCTTTCCTCAGTCTCGTGTCTGTCTCCTCAGGGTCCAGGAGGTGAATCTTCCCACACCTCTGTCTCTCAGAGTTCCTATCTTTCTCCTGGAGCTCCCACCTCTTATCTGCTGCCTTGTGCTGATAGGCCATCAGCTTTTTATTGACAGGACATGCTTCCACACAGTACACAGGAGATTCTCTCTACAGAAGAGAATAGTCAGCATCAAGTTTAAGAGAAACGGAAATGTGTCAGTTTTGGAGGAAATGGAGATTGGGCTAAGAATGAAGAGCAACCCACAGCACTGGGGATAAAACTCAGTGACACTGTGTGAACTCAGGCTGACCTCACACAGGGGCTAACAGGCTCCTCCCTCCCTTCCTAGCACCCTTGGTGACATCTCGGTCCTGAAGTTGAAAGTGGACAAATGCTCCCGGCAGGACACTGTCTTCATGAAGAAGGTGAGTGTCCCCACAAAACACACAAGCCCCAGAAGAGGCCAGATTTATTGGTCCCAACCTTCTAGTCTCTAAGTCACTGGTTGACCACTGGTTCTGGAGCCTGCCCCCTCCCTCCTTCAGTTGGCTGACCAGGTTAACCAGTTGCTGAGAATGGAGATAGGGCACTACACACAGCTATTACCTCCCCTTCAGATGGGCCTCCCTCCCCATCCACTCCGCACCCACCAACTGACCATGGCTGTTCTGTCCCCAGCACTCCCAGCAGCTATACAGGCACATCTACCTGAGCTGTAAGGAGGAGACGAACATCCAGAAGCACTACGAGGCCCTCTACGGCCTGCTGGCGCTCATCAGCATTGAGCTAGCCAATGAGGAGGTGGTGGTGGACCTCATCCGACTGGTGCTGGCTGTTCAGGTGGGGCTGGATGTGGGCTGGACTGGATGAGGATCATGGGGAGGGGCCTGTCAAGCCAGGTACAGATAAGAGTACCAAAACAGTTGTTTTGGTGTCCAGGGACTCTGGTTGGTTACTCCATGAAGGCCTCAAACTATGGTCTTGTCTAGAAGCCCCAGAAACTAATTCATGGCTCTTGGTCATCTTTAATGTAAAGAAGACACAAGGTCATTCAGAATCATCCTCCTGTCTCTAACATTTCAAGTCTTTCATGGGGTCTGAGGGCTACCCCAAAAATTCCAGAGAGAGCATTCAAAAGCCTTGAGCGAGCCTGAAACAAATGTGTCCATTTAAAAATCCTCTCACTCGGTACTTACTCAGAATTGCCTCTGGTGCTTGTTTAAACACATGATGGCAAACACCTTTATCCCAGAGGCAGGCACATCTCTGAGGGTTTAAACCAAGCCTGGTCTACAGAGTTAGTTTCAGGACAGTCAGGCTACACAGAGAAACCCTGTCTTCAAACAAACAAACAAACAAAAAACAAAAAACAAACATTGCCCAAACTGGAAAGCCACAGTGTGTCAAGCCTGGGACCCATGTCTTTAACAAACCTGCATTGTGATTCATAGTCAGCCAGTGTGACAACTCAACAGGACCTAAGACCTTCAAGGTCTGCCCTGGTAGAAGTGCACTGCCTTCAAGATGGGTCCTTCCAACCTCAAAGGTTGCAGGACATCTGGGTCCTGAAGCCAAGTAGGCATCACGATCTTGAACTTATTGACAGGTGTCTTAGGTTATCTTTGTGACCATGCTAAATCCCTGCAGGCCAGCCTAGATGTTGCAACTTCCTTTCTTTACCCCAAGAGATGGAATTTGCAATTCTCTTGAGTCCCAATCTCCTGCTTTTAGTGTATGGACCCAGTTTAACAAGCCAAGCCAATCAGCCAGGTTCAGCTGTGGTATGGTTAGTGGTAATGAGGATTTGGACATTGGCACTCACTGCTGCTGGAATCGCAGAATAGAGAGATGCAGCCATTGCCTCTGCGCTTAGGGATTTGGGAGGCCCCAGCTCCTGGATTATTCCATGAACCATTTTCTCTAGCTTTATAAGAAAGACTTCTGCCTCCCCAGGTTGTGAGGCCAAGATTTAGTCTAGAGAGATGAGACATCTCTAAGAAGACTGAGGAGAGGTCAGGTAGGAGCATGCAGACTTTAAATTGTCAGGGAAAAACTCTGAAAGCCTATCTATATTACCACAGGATGTAGCCCAGGTCAACGAAGAGAATCTGCCTATCTATAACCGCTGTGCGCTCTACGCTCTGGGTGCAGCCTACCTGAACCTCATCAGCCAGCTCACAACAGTACCTGCCTTCTGCCAGCACATCCATGAGGTTGGTGTTGTCAGGGGCCCGAGAGCCCAGTGAGCCCTTGAGCATAGGCTTTGGAGGAAGTGTGGTAGCATTAAAGACCCTCCGTCCTCAGCCTCCTGAGCACAGGGGTCCCATACCTGCTCCCCACCCTCTGTCCTCACGGAAGCACACGCTTCTCCAACCACGCAGAAGAAAGCAACTTCATAGGAGTTTGGGGGAGGAATGGAGATGTGATTCAGATGGTAGAGTACCCACTTAGCATAAATCCCTGAGTTCGATTCCCAGCACCACATAAAAGTGGGTATGGTGACCTATGCCTCTAATCGTCAGCCCTCAAGAAGTCTCAGGAGTAGGAAGACCTCGGCATAGCAAGGTTAGGGCCAGCCTGGGCTAATAAATAAAGTTTTAGGAAGCTGAATGTGGTGATATAGACCTGTAATCCCAGCCATTCAGGAGGCTAATGGTGAAGGATCTCCAGTTCAAGACCAGTCTGGGCAACACTGAAACTGTCTTAGGATGAAAGCCCTTGCTATATAGGCCCTACTGACTCAAGTTCAACCCTGGAACTCATTTAAGAAATCAAAACACATGGTACCCACCTAAGTCTCAGCATTCCTATGGCAAAATGGGAGTCGGAGACATAAACTCATGGGCCAGTATATGGTACAGTGGCAAAAGCAAGAGAGACCCAGCCTCACCAATGTGGAAGGCAAGAGACAGTTCCCCAAACCTCCACAGCTAACTATGTCATGTGCATGCCCCTCTTCGGTTGTTGCATAAAAGTCTTTTAAAAACTCTCTGAAGGGGGCTGGAGAGATGGCTCAAGTGGGTAAGAGCACTGACTGCTCTTGCAGAGGACCCGGGTTCAGTTCCCAGCACCCATGTAGTAGCTCACAACTGTCTGTAACTCCAGTCCCAGAGGATGTGACACCCTCTTCTGGCCTTCACAGATACCAGACACATGAATATAGTACATATACATGCATACAGGCAAAATACTCATACACATAAAAAATTTTTTTTTCTTTTTTGGTTTTTTCGAGACAGGGTTTCTCTGTGTAGCCCTGGCTGTCTTGGAACTCACTCTGTAGACCAGGCTGGCCTTGAACTCAGAAATCCGCCTGCCTCTGCCTCCCAAGTGCTGGGATTAAAGGCGCGTGCCACCACTGCCCAACCAAAAAAAAAAAAAAAAAAATTTAAGAAAAAAAAAATTTTGAAGTATTTTGGGTAGAGTCATAGGTTGTCTAGGATTAAATTTAAAATTCCAGGCCTCTGCTGATCTAAGCTGACTCAGGCATGAGGGAAGGTGCTGTGTCAGTGTACCAGAGACTTCTTCCAAGTGCGTCAGACTTTCTCAGACTCTGGGCTGATACTGAAGTAAAAGAAGCCGTCTTCACTGGAAATCATTGGCTGTTTCCAGGTCACCCTTGCATACCTGCACGCCATCTCTCCCTGGCTTCTCACCACTTCAGTAATGTTCACGTCTCTTCCCCCAACACTTGCAAGGGCTATTGAGGAAATCTCAAGCTGTCCCTGTCCTTCAGACGCAGACGTGCCACCTGCAATCTCTTTTGACTTGTATAAATCAAAAGCACGGGCATAAGGCATAGACGACAGAGCCTCAGTCTCTTAGGAATGATACCCTGTACTTGGAGGACTCTTGACACCTGTGCGTCATCAATGGCGACAGCCTGAGCAGGCACTGCTTCCCAGGCAGCTCTGACGATGACTGGGGATCTGGATTCTCCCTGGAGAAGCTCTCTACACTGACTCTCCAAGGAGGCTGGGGGTGGGGGGAGCTCTGAAAGTGAGCTTGCAGCTCTTCCTGTCACCTGCTCTGAGGCACCTCGCCCATCTGGCCCTAGCTCTCATCATTTGTCTCCTTCCAAACAGGTTATAGAGACCAGGAAGAAAGAGGCACCATACATGCTTCCTGAGGATGTGTTTGTGGAAAGGCCCAGGTAAGGACGGTACCAGCTATGGCAGTAACGTCCTCGGCAGAGTTCGGCTTCATCACATTACTGTAATCCTTCCATGGCTGCCATGCTGACAAACCTCAAGCAAGCCATAATGAACCAGCTCAGGGTGTCATGCTGCATAAGAAGTAATGCAACCTCCAGGAGCTTTGGGCAAACCTAGGGGGAGTGCATTCTAGAGGAGCCATCTCTGAAGGACCCTGTCTTCAGATGGTGATATGGACCAATAACACTCCGACATGACAGTGATGTCAGGAAAGATATTTTGGAACAAAAGATGTCTAACAACAAGTCATAGCCTTCTAAACTGTGGCCTCTCCACACACTGACTGCAAGAGGTCATCGATGCTGGGGTAGGGGCTGTATGTAATTCAGTGATAGAATACTAGAGTACTTGCCTAGTATGCATGCATCCTGTGTTGAATCTCACACAGTGTCACAAAAGAAAAAGATTCAGAAAGTCTGTGATGCTTTGAAAGAATATTTAGTGTGAAATGGTTATTAAGTAATAGATGAATAAAGTCAGTCACAGGCTGGTAAGATAGATCAGTTGATAAATTGCTTGTTTCATATCATACATATGAAGTTTGGTGCCCTGGAACCATGTTGTTAAGAAGAAAAAAAAATAGCCAAGTGTGGTAGCATGTGTTTGTCATCCAGTGGAGATGGGAAGACACTCAGGTATCTGAGCTCACTGGCTAGCCAGCCTAGCTTACTTGGTGAACTCAAGGCCAGTGAGAAACTGTCTCAAACAAAAGGTAAATATTGCCTAAGTAACACAGCCCAACTCTACACATCTGAGTACACACGTATCCATGTACACCTGTGCACACATATGCACACCAAAATTAATCTCAGAACAGTGTGCTAGGGAAGGGACCATTTATGTGTGGCCATAAACATTCACCTAAAGGATTCTGCATAAAATAACAGTAGATGTGCCTAGGAAAAGGACCAGAGGAATTTTCTTCTATTTTGCTGTCGTTTTGCATACTGAATATGTCGATATTGTGATAAAGTCATCCAGAGATTGTTCTAGCTGCCCACGGTTTTATTCTGCCTTGTCTTTGTCTTCCAGGCTGTCTCAGAATCTAGATGGTGTGGTGATCGAGTTTCTCTTCCGCCAGAGCAAAATCAGCGAGGTTCTGGGAGGCAGCGGCTACAATTCGGACAGGCTCTGCCTGCCGTACATCCCTCAGCTGACAGGTAAGAGCTCTAGACAAGGTTTCCACTCTACCTCTGCCTTTCCTGCCAGGCAAGAGCCCTAGGGTAAGGGGTGTGGCCTCCTGAACCACTTGTGGTGGCAACATAGGTTGCATAAGTGCTGAGAGACATAGCAGAATCTATGGTGAGATCCTGTCTCCAGTGCACCTCCTCTTCAGTTTGGGGTCTCAGAAACCAGCTGGTCCATGAGATAACCCGACTTGTGAAGAAGGGCTGGTTCATAGTATTAGAAAGAACACACATGGGCTTAGAGAACCAGAGATCCATTTCAAGGTGTCTGTGCTACTTCCTCTTGAAAAACACCTTTGGCAAGTCTGGAAACCCCTGAGTTACATGACTACAAAATTTCCTCATTAGAGGGTTGATGTGGAGGTGTGTGGAGCAGATGCATTTAGGGAACACTGAATGCATGACCGTTACTGCTGCTGTGAGCAGATGCAACAAGCTTGCACTAGTTGAGATTTGCTTCATAAATGGTTGCGAAGAGTCTTAGCCCCAAGAAGCATCCTGACCACCCTATGATGGGTGGAAGAAGGCCCAGGCAGCTAGAAGCTTCTGGAAGCTCCAGGTATAGCCTAAGTGTGTCCTGAGCCATTGAGGACTGTGGATCAAGGCCTATTGGGTAGGACCAGTGGCTTAACCCTGGCTTTGCAAGGACTGGGAACCCTAGCTTCTGGGCTTCTCTTTTCCAGATGAAGATCGCTTGTCCAAGAGGAAGAGCATTGGAGAGACCATTTCCCTTCAAGTAGAGGTGGAGTCCAGGAACAGCCCAGAGAAAGAGGAGGTGAGTGTTCTTGTCAGTACTCTGGGTGCTAAGCACTTTCTGCCCTTTACAGTGCATTAAAGGATCTGTGGAAATCCATTTTCTTACTGACTCTCATCATGTGGACATCTTGATATTTCTAGCTAGAAGATTTATTACTTTTCTTCTATCATTAGACTATTACTTTTTTAAAAATCACTGTAGAAAGGCTTTATGGTCTCTGAGTCCTACTCATACAAATTGGGGGATTGACAGACACAGCGTCATACAGAGTGGGGAGGCCCCACATCTGAGTGGGACAGGGACACGAAGATCCATGGGGATTATGAGAGCCACTGTGGATCACACTGAGTCTTTCCCCAAGTGTGATCAGAGCATAGAAAAGTACCTGAAGCTTGGGATTAAGCATCCCTCTACCTAGGGCCAAGTTCTACAGAGCTCATCTGGGACAGTTCCATGGAAGGCAGGATGATCTGACCCTGGCTAATTGGGTAAACAAAGTGAGGAAATAGGGAGGCCGGGGAGATGGCTCAGCGGTTAAGAGCACTGACTGTTCTTCCAGAGGTCCTGAGTTCAAATCGCAGCATCCGCATGGTGGCTCACGACCATCTTGTAAAGTACCATCTTCTTCATTATCGTCAGCATCTTTCCTGAGGCTGTGCGGAATCTGTGAAATCCCCGTCTTTGGGTTTTATTATCTCCTATCTCTTCATAGTCTCTATAGAAGTTGAGATCCTTTGCCTCTGGTCTTGGGACCAATCAGATCAGCAGAAGGCCCATGGTTTCTAACCTCCATTGACTTACTATATTAAAATTCATCACTTTGGGATATAATTTAATATCATAAGTCTTCAAAATGTTATGAAGTTTTTGGAGTTTATACTGGAGATCAAATTTCTCAACTGCCTCTTTACATCCTTTTATTTTTCTTAGTATTTTTTTTTTAATTATGTGGTAGTTTCCTCCCATGGAGCTTGATGGACAGGCTTAGGTAGGGGAAAGAGAATAGAATACTATTCTGAGGGAATCTGATGAGAAATTGGTCTTGTTTGCATTTCTCCATTCATGCTTAGACACCTGAGGTGTTTTAGCTGTGTTCTCCTAAGAAGCAACGTTCACCTTTCTGAACATTTTTGCCCTTTCTCCTTTAGCGAGTTCCTGCAGAAGAGATCACCTATGAGACACTGAAGAAGGCCATTGGTAAGACGGGGCCCCAGGAAAGTCTGGTGAGAAGGGGAGATTGGGCATGACATGGACCTGGTGGTAGAGGCTGGTGGCCTCTTGTAAACTCCTCAGCCACCAAAGCTGCAGCTGGAAGTCCCCAGTCCCCAATGAGGTGGGTAGCTGCATATCAGGCAAGCCCTTCCCTGCTTACTAACAGCAGCTGCCTCTGAAAGCTACCACTTGTGGGTTACAGCCGGATGACTGGTTTGTGCAAATAAGTGGAAACTCCTTGTGTGTGGAAGATGACAAGGTGTCCGGCAAAGGGCACTGAGAAGAAATTGTATCCATGTTCATTTAATAAGGAATCTTTTGGATTGGCCCGTGAGGTGTTCCTATGAAGAAGTCGTTTCTAACTGATGACAAATTAAGCCACTAAATGTCCTTTCCATGAAACTACAGTATTTTGTTATAAATGCACTCAGCTGGGCAGTGGTGGTGCATGCCTTTGATCCCAGCACTTGTGAGGCAGAGGCAAAGTAGATCTCATACTTGCCTGGCTGGGCCAGCCTGGTCTACATAGTGAGCTCCAGACAGCCAGGGCTATCTAGTGAGAGCCTGTCTGAAAAATAAATTAAGAAGTGAATGAATGAACACACCACCTGCCTCCACCTGCAATGGTCGTTATTTGCCCTCCAAACCCACTCCCTAGTCTTTATTTGGTGCTAACTCACCTGGGATAGTAAGTAGGGTATGTAAAGTGTTCAGTGAAATGTTCTTAGACTGCCGTGTTCTGATGCCCTGCGGTGACTCTGGTGGTCTATCTGCCTTTTCCACTGTTCAGGTCCTTTTTAAAACTGCCCTGACAGCACTAAAAGGGACAACTATCTGAGATCTGTAGCTTGAGAGTCCCAGTAGGGGTGCAGCTGCTTGGGTCTTTAAAAGCCCAGCTGCAGGTCCTTTTAACTGATTCTCAGAGGGTGGAGCCATGGGCGAGATCAGAAAAAGTCTAGGAGGACACATGAGGTCTCCGCCCCTTTCATGTCTCCGCCCCTTTTTTCATCCCAAGAGTCCACTCTGTCCATCTCCTCATGCTCCTTCCTCTGCTCATCCCTGGGGATGATCTGAACACTAACCCAGTTCTCTGTGTCACAGTGGACAGTGTGGCAGTTGAGGAACAGGAGCGTGAACGGCGGCGACAGGTGGTAGAGAAATTCCAGAAGGCGCCTTTCGAGGAGATTGCAGCCCACTGTGGGGCCCGGGTGAGTGACACACCACAGGGTGCCTTCCTGACCAATCAGAAACCAGATTTGGGTTGAGGGCAGGACTGAGTTCAAACCTTGGCTCTTTGTACTGCAGAAATTAGGGGTTGGTTCCAGCACACAGAATGCTGCTGTTTACCCCAATACCTTCCCCTCCATTGCTTCCCCTGAACCCACTGACTAAGCATTTAGCACTCACCATCTTGGACCTTTAATCCTAGCACTTGGGAAGCAAAGGCAGGCAGAGCTGTGTAAATTTGACCAGACTGGTCTACATAGATAATTCCACGCCAGCCAGAGCTACATAGTGAGAACCCCAAAAAGTGCAGGGGGCACATAGGAGGTGCCAGATGGATGTGATGCCTCACACCTTCAATCCAGCACTAAGAAGGCAAAGGCAGTAAATCTCTGTGAATTCAGGGCCAGACTGGTTTCCATAACGAATCCCAAGCCAGCTAGGGTAGTGCCCTGCTTCAACAAAATGAACAAATACCTTTACTAGTGTTACTATTATAAACTTTTCTTATGTGTGATATGGTATAGATGCATATGTAGGTCAAAGGACGACTTTTGGTCTCTCTTTCCGCTTTTATGTGGGTTCCAGGGATAAAATTCGGGCCATTCGGCTTGTATAACATATACTTTACCCACTGAGCCATCTCACCAGCCAGGTTCTTTTAAATGAGGGTCTTGCTGTCTGTCCTTGGCTGGCTTTGAACTCTGTAGCCTGGGCTTGCATCACGCTTTCAAACATCCTGCCTCGGCCTTCTTAGTGCTGAGATTACAGGCATGTGGCTTAGATTTTATATTTATATAAGATCTGTACATTTTGTTATCTATATAAAAGCCCATAACTTCCAAGCCTGTGCTACCTACTGTAAGTTATTTATGTCCCACTATGAGAAGTAGACTGTTCATTTCATGGTCTAGGACGCCCAAGTACTAGACACATGTCAAGAAAAAGTAACATCAGCTCCAGTGTCCTGACCCCATGCCCAACAGACCCTGTTATCCCATATTGAAAAGCAGAAACCTGCCAAAACCTCTTCCTGGTATTCCTGGCCCTCTGTCAGGTCCCTAGACTTTGCTGGGTGGTTGTCTCTGAGCTGAATGTACAAGCCCAGCAGACAGGTACCAAGGATAAGAACACACCCATTGGGTTACCTCCTGCGGTTGTTACTGCCAGAAACTTCCAGGTATCCTTTGACCAGGTAGCCAGAGAGGTGGCAGCTGACATTCTGGGAACCCCGAGTTCACTTTCATTCTGTTTGTGTCTAGGCATCACTGCTGCAGAGCAAACTCAACCAGATCTTTGAAATCACCATCCGGTAAGTGATAGCATAGGCAGGGGACCCTAACTCTGTGTCCAGTGTCAAGAGTCACGGCCATTGTCCTAAGCCCTCTCTTTGTACCGGCTTGCGCCAGCCCTCCCTCTATCCTCAACCTCTAATGCCAGCCCTAGACTCAGCTACCATAGACAAGGCAAGAGACTGGCAAGTGAGGCCTAGAGACAGCCAGGAGTCTTAGTGTCCTGGGCAAGTACTTGATCTTTAAAGTACCTGTGACATCAGAGAGCAGCGGTTCTCAACATGGGGATCTCAACCCCTTCAGGAGTTTACATGTCAAATATTTTCATTATAGTTCATAACAATAGCAAAATTACAGTTATGAAGCAGCAACACAAATAATTTTATGGCTAGGGGTAACCACAAGCTGAGGAACTGTTGTAGCACTAGGAAGGTTGAGAACCACTGCTGTAGAGCCTACCGGGAGTCTTGACTGAGCTGAAGATTATAGAACATCTTGAAAATCTGGGAACCTATGGAATGGAATGTGTTTTAAAGAGAAACCAAAACTGACTGCTGTGTTCAGTTGTACAGGGTAGGACCCTAGTTCCTGGTTCACACCTCTCTCCTCCTTGTGTCTCCAGGCCCCCTCCAAGCCCTTCAGGAACTATCAGTGCAGCCTACGGCCAGCCACAGAACCACTCCATCCCTGTCTATGAGATGAAGTTTCCCGATCTGTGTGTATACTGAATTCCATGAGACAGTACTCCTTAGAGGACACGGTCTGCAGGAGGACCACCTTCCTGCTGTCTCTCGCCATGTGGAAATCTAGCTGGGATAGCTAAGAACTAGTCACCTTGGACAATGAGCAAAGGTGGCGCCTCTGGCCCTCTGTGGTCCTCCTGCCTCCTCCTTGTCTTCTGTGAGGAGGATCCAGCAACCAGCCCTCCGGGCTAAAAAGCATCTCAGCTGTCTTCTCTTTTGTATCAGCCAAGGACAGAGAGTGGCTCCATTGAGAAGCAGAAGGGCCTGGGAAGCCTCCCTTGAGGATGTGTCTATGAGGGAGTGTCAGCCACTCCCAAAGAAAGGAGCCTGATATCCGCATGGTTGGTCTAAGGAAGACATAGATGGCACTTGGGGAAACTGAGGAAATCCCCCCACCCCCCCCCCCCCTCCCCACATAAAGAAAATGACAATGTGAGGGCTCGGAGATGATGTCTGCTCTCACCTCTTACGTCTCGGGTGTCTTACCCAGTGTCCTGTTTACTCTCTAGTTGTCTGCGTTTCTTTTTCTACTATTAATGAATGCTGAGCCCTCACAGCGAGAGCTGAGGGTGGAGAGGGGCTGGGCCTCCCAAACTGGGTGGCAGTGTCAGTAAAGCCCAGGTGTGGCAGTCTGTGTCCTGGCTTCGCAGCATCTTCTCACATTCTCTGTCCAGCCTGTGGTGGGTCTCTGGTTCTCTCTCCTCCGGATATTTCCTGGGTTGTTAAGTTTGGTCCCTGATGTCTGTTTCCACAGCTTCTGTGATGAGAGAAAACTAGCAGGTTCTAGATGGCTGGGGAGAGGGGAAGGAGGGCCCAGGCCCTGAGGCCTGTCCGCATCACTTCCTGTGGAAGATGCTCCCAGCAGTAGTTAGGAGTTAGGGGAGGCAGAGGAAGGAGCAGTTGAGCAAGCGGCACTTTAGAATTCGGGGAAAGAAAAATTTAAAGATAGAATTGAAACAATATTTTCCATCTCTGGGTAAAGTCTGAGACACTGGGGACAACTGGCCTTGCTTGTAGCCAGGGTAGAGGTAGTAGGAATCACTTTGTCTTCCATTTCCCCTGTGTGCCAGCTACCTGTCCCTATGTGACTCGTGTGTGCTAGGAGCAGCTGACCCAGGACTCGGCAGGTACAAAAAAGGCTATTTGCTGTCTTCTTGGTTTGACCCTTTCCTGATGCCCCTCTTGGTGTCTCCATGCCTCCCAGAATGGCTAGCACTGGGAGTACTCCACAGTCCAAGATAGTGCTTTTTTTCCCTTTCAAACTTCCCATAAGTTTTCTGAGCTGTTTTCCTCTCTGGCCCAACATTGCTCCAGAGATTTTGCTTCTTAGAAAGTGGGAGTGGTTCTGTTGGCCTGCAAGAATCATTTCTAGGCTATGGTTTTAGGCCTGGAATCATAAAGGAACCATTTCTGCTAGGAAATTAGGCTTCTCAGGACCCTGCATGGTGACAGCCTGCTCACTAGGACAGGTGAGAACATTCTCACCTGAATTAGAACTGGAGCACACGTGCTTTTTGTTGCGTGTGTGGTAAATATCACAGATGGGGCCCTCCTGACCCTTTCCCCAGAGTTTCCCATTTGTAATACAACTCTTCCCATGGTCCCTGCACTGAGCTAAGGGCTCAGACTCCAGCATGGCCTGCATGGTCTCAGATCCCTGAGGACAACACCCCAACACCACCCACATGGCTTTGGAGCTGTGTGGCTACTGCTCAACCCAACTTTATAAGCATGGCCTTAGGTTTCTCCTCAATATCTCTTTACTAAGAAGGCAAGTTTAAACACAAAGGCAAGTAACCTTTTAGAAACTAGGAAAATCTAAGCCTTGGGCTAAAACCCATCTTTCTTCACTTGTTGGCCATTATCTTTTATCCCATGCTTAGCTTGAATAAGAGTCCTTAGTTTCTTTATAGTCTCCAACTGACACCATTGTCCACCTCTGAGGTATCTTAACCCTAGTTGTGGATTAGGAGAGACACTTCCCAATCTTTCGAGAGCCAGCATCAGAACCAGATGCCTCCAGGCCCGCTCAGATACTTGTGTCTCTCACCCTGCCCCGGGAACTGAGGAACAGGCACAGAGTTCAGGTCTGCAGACTCAGCTGCTGTCAGTCGTCTTCTCTGTGTTCCTGTCTCTTCACACCATGGCCGTGTAGCAGAGGCATGCTGCTTTTAGAGAGCTGGCCACCTGTGTGCCCTCTTCCTGGTAGAACTGATTTAAATGTACATTCAGTAAGATACAGGGTTGCCTGTTGACAGGAAATGGGATCTGATGCTGGCCAAGTATGCCTCAGAGACAGGAAGTCCAGACGGTAATGCTGGAGGATCTGTCCCTCCATCACAAGGCTGGGAAGAGAGGCAAAAGCACAGGGAGTAGGAGCTAGGGGAGGAGCCTAGTGCCCATTCTTGCCTTCGCTAGCCCCTGGTGTCTGACAGCACTGTCTCAGGCCTTGTTCTGTTCCCCTTTCTTGTTGTAAACCAGAAGAATCAAAAGGAGCCAACAAACCTATTAAGGCCACCTGGTCCCCACTCCCACAATCAAAGCACCCAGGGCTCTGGCTTCTTAGGCAAGAGGTTGGCATCCTGCTGACAGAATCTAGTAGGCATGATTGTGTTTGAGGTTTAGAAGTTAATGTGGCTGATCATCCAAAGTGTAAAAAGTGATTAAGAGAAAATACCTAATCCAGAAACAGCTGCTGTTTCCCCTGCGCTGAGCCTGTTCCGTGTTCTCTCTTTACTTCGAAGACTAAAATAAATGGTTTCGTGACTCCTAAATGACCTCATCAAACCTAGAAATGTCCCCTGTCGGCTCCCATCTGCACACACAGCTAGAGAACATGGGCCCGGGACCAAGGACCCTGGTCAGAGCAGCCATATCCTGTATGCTGTCTGTGCACAGGATGTGCCTGGTCCACGCGATGCAGTTCAACTGGAGTAAGATTTGGAAAAGCCCCAAAACTCATGACTTCTTGAAAAGAAGCTCCAGACTTCCTTAGGGTCCCTGGGTCATGGTGCCTTCCAGTTGTCCTTTGCTGTCATGGGCCTGCCATCCTGTGGCTTAGCTGGGTTTGGGGTCTGGGGGAAAGGCAAGGCCTGAGCTGTGGGTCTGAACTTTGTGTTTAAAGCAGACTTGGAGGTCGGGGAGGGGCATATCAGGCAGGCTGTGTCTGCTTTCTTTGACCTTCTCTGGCAAGGAGATTGCACCAAAGCAAGGGTCCTGTCCTTTGAATCTGAGGGTATAGTTCAGGGAAAACAGTCTGGTTCTATGACCCTATAACCCAAGCTGGGTCTGGTCTAAAGACTGCAAGGGAATCCTGGGAGGCCCTGCTCTTGATTCTGGCTACCCGGAGAGCGAAAAGGAAAAGTGGGTAGAAGGAAAGACGGGAGCTCTGTTGACTGCCCTCTGGCACCAGCGGGGCTCCTTCAGGGAGCATGGGAATTTCCCGAGCCCAGCACTTGCCCTTTCTGAACTCTTAACGACTGGGGTCTGGCACATGGAGTATGAACGTGCACACCCATAGATGCTGCATCTCATGTATCTCAGTGTATCTGAGTAGTTTTAGACCTTCAGGACCTGGCTGAATGTGTGTGTGTGTCTATGTCCGTGCATGTGTGCAATGTAGTTTGTAGTTGCCAACGTTGTGTATAGAATAGCTGACATATTTATATGTGAGTACAGAATTGGCACCTGTGGCAGTTTTCTGTATTTTAAACTTGTTGAATCAAATTAGTTTTCCTTCCAGGGAAGCAGGTAATTGGAGGGACTCCTCCAAAGTCATTCTTTAGAACTATTAGCCGTGGTTGATGCCCTTTTCAAATAAATGTTAATGTTGTCACCATATGGCTGTCTATTTGAATTCTTAAGAAAATAGCTTTTTTTTGGATAAAAACGGAATCTGAAAAACATCAGCAGTGTACCACTGGCATTTTGCCACCCACACTGACCCTGGCTTTACATCTGCTCTAATGAGGGACATTACTGATTTGGAAATCTGAAGGGAGGATTCCCAGCAGGGGAGCATCCTCAGGAGGGGCCAGGCCATTCCTCATTCCAGCTCATTGCCCACGACCCACATTAGTGAGAACTTAGTCATGGTTTCTGACTCCCCTTCACAGCATGTCCTTTGGACTCCTATCAGATATAAGGGCTATGAACAAATATGCAAATACGGAAACTCGTGTGGCCCACTGATGTCTAATCAAAGTGACAGGTATGTGTGCATCCCCTGCACACATGACTGCAGAAGTGTGACCCCAGCACTATGTTGACACAAGGAGACAGAAGCAACACAACACAGGCCTGCAGAGCTTGGAGCTTCTCTTAGATGAGGGGACAAAACAGACACACAGCAAATCACTTGCCATCCTGGCCAGACAGCATGCCTTCCAACACAGAGAAAGCTGACTACAGGAGGCCTGAAAATACACAGGGCCACTGGACGAGAGTATGACTGGCCTAGTAGAGGTGGTCTTGAACCTAGGCTTGCATTGAAAAAAGCCAGAGATTCTGAAGGTAGGTGAAGGTAACACTGGGGATGGGGCCCAGGCATGAAGAACTGAAGAGTAACAATGAGACCAACAGACATGGCCAGGAAACATGAGCTAATGGTTGGTAGGAGAATGAACATGTCAATCATGTTGACATATACACATACATGTATGTAGAGTTACATATATACTTTTTCTATACATGTTCATGCTCTACATACTTTGCCCTCAAAGCTTGCAACTGGTGGGAAATTGGGATGTAGGGAACACGGTTGGCTGGTGGACCAAAGACCATGGGACCAATGAGCTCTTTCTAAATATAATGTATTATATATGCATGCAATAATTTGCATGGCCAGGAAAGCTACCAGAGGCAGGTTGGTTAAAGCACCAGAATAGTAAGAATGAAGGGCTGGAACTGGACATCTCAGGGATGGAGCTGGGGAGACACAGCACGGTGGGAAACCAGTGCCTCAAGGCTTGGGCCTGAGGAACGGTGCATCTATCTCCACGGTGTGTAAAGAGTAAGACTGTGTGTCTGAGAGTATATGTAAGAAAAACAAATCGGAACTGCTACCAACTCTCAATTCTCACATTTGCCTGATAAAATAATGGACTGGAATCTCTTTTTTCCTTTTATCCTCCCCGGAGCCCTTATGCCAAGAATGGAGAGACAACTAAATCCTGGGAGTGTTCAGGGACCTGCCTGAGGTCTCAGATAAGGATTCAATGTAGCTAGGAGTGTCTTTGTGTCTCTGTAGCTTCCTGAGTGACATCCCAGAAACATTCCCAGTGGGGAATAGTCCTTGATAGTGCCACCTGGCTTCGAGTCCCTAAGGTCAGTCGCTCTTGTAGGACTTGGCTTTGGGGCCAGGCTCAAGCTAAGCAACCCTCCTAGAAGTGTTGGACAGAGAACCAT